GCTGGTATGTGTTTGCAGTACACAAGCCACGGTTAAGACAGCTGACTCCACTGTGATGTGACCCCCTCTCTCTCTCTCTCTCGCTCTCTCGCGCTCTCTCTCTCTCTCTCTCGTGCTCTCTCAATTTAAATTTTCAATTTAAGAGTGCTTTATTGGCATGACAAAAACTATACATTTGTATTGCCAAAGCAATTGCAGCTGGACTGCTTACAAATAGTGCACATATGTATTAACAGAAAGAAAAATAATAATAGTAATTATAATAGTAATAATATATATAAAAAGTATTAAGCATGTAGTGCAAAATTAATTACTAATGTATGTAAGTATATAAACTAGAAATAAAAATAAAATAAGGGATTAGACATATTTACAGAAGCAAAATGTACATCTAAGTAATATAATACAGTAATTTGGCATAATATAATCTACATGTGGTGGAAACATCAGATCAGGGCAGGTTGAGTGTTTTCTCTTCTATGGTGACAGGCAGACACATATTGAGCTGCAAACACACAGCAGTTCTTCTGTTCTCCTAACAGATACGGCAGTTTCTCCTAGTTTGAAAGAGTTTTAAATGTCTGATGGATCTGCTGTATTTTATCATAGAACACTGTCCGTATATTGGTGTATTTGGGGCATTCTGTTAGGAAGTGCAGTTATGTTTCCATCTGATTCAGATCACAGTGTGAACACAGTCTCTGCTCCGGTGGCAGCCATATTTTTCTGTGTCTGCCCGTCTCTATCATCAGCTTGTGTCCGCTGAGTCTGTATCTGGTCAACGTGCTTCTCAGTTTTTTATCTGACACTGTGTACAGATACTCTGCCATACTGTACTCTCTCTCTCTCGCACTCTCTCTCGCGCTCTTGCTCTCTCTCGTGCTCGCTCGCTCGCTCTCTCTCACTCTCTCTCACACACCGCACGCGCGCACACACACACACACGATGCGCAAAACTCCGCATTTGAACAGTCAATAGCAAAAACTTAAACTAATAACAAAACAGTAGCTGATTCAGAAGCGCCAGATTGTCATAGCAAAGTCAGAATTACCTCCTCTCCTAGGTTCACGAAACGGTCATCCATAAAATGCATTGCTGTTCTGTTGTAAGTAATCTTAAAGATTCCTAAATGCATCTACTTTCGGAAGGCCAAATAAAGTGCTTTTGCTTTCGCCTAGAAACACACAGAGTCTCCCTGACATGGCTGCTTCAACACTAACTGCGGTTACTGAAACCACGCCTTCTTTCTTTGCGTGAACATTTGGGCGGCATTATGCAAATATTTCCACATAGTGAGGTAGATATGTGGGGGCGTGTTAGAACGAGCCGTTTTAGGGGGGCGTGGCAGAGTCTTATCTTTGATTAAAAATATATATTTGGTTTTGAGACGTTAGTCTTTGCAACTTCAGGGATCTTATCTATGCACAATCAGCTTGTAACACTCCAAAGAGAAAGGAAAACTTGAAATCGCATCATATGACCCCTTTAAAACATGAAAATAATTTCAGAAATGTCTTGTTGAGCTTCTTCTAAATATTCATATGTTCTACAGGTTTTGGTTTTTCAAGATTGTGGCTGCCACTGCTATTACAGTTGGAGCTTTCTTCATTCCCGAAGGCCCTTTTACTACTGGTAAAGTTTTATTTTATTACCTTAAATATGAAATATGCATGCAATTACAATGTAAAGGTGAAAGGAATTGACTTTAAATGGCTGTTTAGCAACTAGCATTAAAAAATAACTGCTGAATGTGTAACATAGTTTTACATTATACAGTGGAATTTTTCATAAAAGATAGCAAAAACAGCACAGTGTTTAGCCAGCTTAAGTGATGAGAGAGTGAGATTAGGCAGACTTGAGTTGTTTCTCAAATGTATTTGTGAGGATCTAATGATGATCTTCTGCTGGGTCTCTTCCAGTCTGGTTTTACATAGGCATGGCTGGAGCGTTCTGTTTCATCCTCATCCAGCTGGTGCTCTTGATCGACTTTGCTCATTCTTGGAATGAGTCCTGGGTGGAGAAAATGGAGGAGGGAAACTCTCGCTGCTGGTATGCAGGTATGCATTAAGAGAACTTGATTTGTTTGGTCCCACATAAGAATAAACAAAACTTTTTCCAACAAGCAGCAGTGTAGCACAACAAAAAATATAAATGTAAAAAAAATGTAAACTACTGTTAGGGGTTGGACCGACTAGTCGACTTCAATGCTCTGCCATGACACTTTAAGCTTGATGTTGACTAGTCGCTGGTCGTATAGAGGGCGCAACAGGATAAGAAATCATTGAAATCATCATCTTCCACATATACGCTTCGTTTCCAAACAGTTAAAATGACTAATAAATGCATACTCTGAAAGCGCTCCACGAGACATGTGTGATTATTAGTGCTGTCAAATGATTAATCGCGATTAAACTTTTAAATTATAAAAGTTTTTGTTTACATAATATATGTACAGTATCTTTGCTGTGTATATTTATTATGTATATATAAATACACACATGCATGTATATATTTAAAAAAATATATGTTATGTTTATATATTAAATATATTTATTTATAATATAAATTATATTAATATAAATATAGACATGTAAATACATGTAATTATTTTCAAAATATGTACTGCATGTGTGTGTATTTATATATACAGAATAAATATACACAGAACACACAGAAATATGCAAACAAAAACTTTTATTTTGGATGCGATTAATCGCGATTAACCATTTGACAGCACTAGTGATTATATTACTGGATGCTCGAAATTGAACGGGAGAATGCACGTTTTAAACCGGTAAGTTAATCGTCGTACTAATCTAATGCGCTGCTGCACTGTAATGCACACACACATAGGCTACAGACAGTAGCTCGTACATCACGCACAGATCACGAGCACACAGAATCATTCAGTGCGGAAATGTATTGTCAGCACTCTTTTGTGATTTCTCAATAAAATAGCTTAGAAACTGAAAAGTTCAAGCATATATTTCTTAACTAAATCCCACAGTTTCACTACTAGTAGAGAGATGCTGCCAGGTAGAATTAATTCACACATGCAATCGCTCTCACTAATGCATTCATTCACCAAAAAGACAAAAGATCTGATAAAAATGAGCTGTTATAGGAGCAAAAGCCATGTGGGCAGCGCTGTTATATGCCATAGCTGTGCTCAAGGTGTTTGTCAAAGCTCCAGACTTTTGTTAATTAATGACGCCATCAGCGACTAGTCGACTTCGACTCGACTTTCATCACATAAAAGTCGACTTTAAAAAATCAGAAGTCGTTCAACCCCTAACTACTGTTCGAAAGTTTGTACAATTTTTTTTGTTTGTTTTTGAAAGAAGTCTCTTATGCTCAGCAAGGCTTAAAAAAACAGGAATATTGTGAAATATTATTTCAATTTAAGTTTTCTATTTTAATATATTTTAAAATGTAATTTATTCCTTTTAAAATGTCATTGATTTTTATTATTATCAGTGTTGAAAACCGTGTTGCTGCTTAACATTTTTTTGGAAATGTACATTTTTCTAAGGATTTTTAGGAAGTTTAAAAGAACAGAATTTATCTGTCACTTTTGATTTCGAATTTGTTGCATCCTTACTCATTAGAAGTTTCTTTCCAGAAAATCTTGCCAATGGTAGTTATAACATGGTAAATATAACATATTTAAAGTCATAAATAGAACAAATGATTTTAATATTTTAACATCATATTTATAGAGTTATTGTCCCTATTTTATGTTTAGATACTTCTTACAGTGTATGCAGTCATAAAGAAGATTGACTATTGTTCTAATGTAATTTTTTTTTTCAACCATCCATAGCTCTTCTGTCTGCCACAACCATCAACTACGCTCTTTCGCTGGTGTCTCTGGTCTTGTTCTATGTGTATTACACTCACTCTGATGGCTGCACTGAGAACAAAGTCTTCATCAGCATCAACATGCTGCTGTGCGTTGGTGCATCTGTCATGTCCATTTTGCCTAAAATCCAGGTAATGAATACAAAACGTCTGTTTGTATGACTAGTATTGAAACTGTGATCATCTCCTATACTTCAATATTGCTCAAAATTGTGGATATGTATCATATCAGGTGAGCATCAAGTTGTTTAATTTCTTCATGTTCTTTTCTTTCCGCTCCTCCTCTAGGAGTCCCAACCCAGATCTGGTCTCTTGCAGTCCTCCATTGTTACTCTGTACACCATGTATCTGACCTGGTCTGCCATGACCAATGAGCCTGGTAAGGACTGTGAGAGATTTGTTTAAAGGAACATTCTGTTGTTCATGAAATCGGTCTAAAATAATGAAGTTCTTTCCCCTCAAGACCGCAGATGCAACCCTAGCTTGCTTGGCATTATTGGCCTCAACAGCACCACCCCTGCTGGTCAGGACCGTGTTGTTCAGTGGTGGGATGCCCAGGGCATTGTGGGCTTGATCTTGTTCCTGATGTGTGTGCTGTACTCCAGGTAAGAGAGTTTGCATGTTTGCATAAAATATATGGTCTGTTTTTGCAGCTATTTTTCAACACGGCAGTCAAATTTGTCTTTTTATTTCCTCAGCATCCGGAACTCCAGCAACACTCAAGTGAACAAACTGACCCTCACCAGCGACGAGTCTGCTTTGATTGAGGATGGTCCCGCTCCAGAGAACTTTGAAGTGGGTGATGACTCCAACCGTGCCGTTGACAATGAGAAGGATGGAGTCAACTACAGCTACTCTTTCTTCCACTTCATGCTTTTCTTGGCTTCCCTGTATATCATGATGACACTGACAAACTGGTACAGGTATGTGCTCATGTGAGGATGTATTTGTCAGTTTAATTTCACAATATATTAGTGATCATATTTTAGTTTTATTAGGTCAATTTTGTAAGCAGATCAAGAGCTTATTTTCAAAAATTCAAAAGACATTTAAAAGTCATAAAATTACATTTATGAATGCATAAAATTCTGTACATAAAAATATACATACTGAATTGCAATACACCCTTAAAAATAAAGGTTCTTTATTGGCATCAATGGTTCCATAAAGAACCTTTACCATCCGTGGAACCTTTTCATTCCACAAAAGGTTCTTTACAGTGGAAAAAGTTCTTTAGGCTACGTTTACACTAGTGCGTTTTGGTTTTAAAACGCATAACTTTTGCAACGGTTACGCCTGTCGTTTACACTACTCTGGCGTTTTCGACCCACAAAGATTTTTGAAAACGCTGCAGACCCCGTTTTAGTTTGAAAACTCCAGGGTTGCGCAGTGTAAACCGACCAAAACGGAGACTTTTGAAAACTATGGCATGGCTGCCCACATTCGCTCTGCGTATCCTTGACGACCGTGTAAACAATAACATCATGCTCATTGTTGTACCCATAGATATGTATAGGTAGATTCTGTATTCGACCGCTCCAAGCACGTAGACGTGTCCACCATCTGAATAGGGATTCTACCTATACATATCTATGATTGTATCTGCATGAATGGTCATGTGACATGCGTTTTCAGTAGTGTGGATGAGATGGTTTCTGACACGCAGTGAAAAAAGCCTATTATGCTCTTTTATAAAGTCTTGATTTTGTTTTGGGGGTGTACTAGAACAGGCTCTCATACTAGGTTGTTCGAAAAACACATTATTTTTCACATATTTTACATTATTACAACACCTCTCTCCCCAGTCTGGCATGACTGGCTCAAATAGTTCCTGTATCAAATCAGGAAACAGAAGGCCCGCCTTCTGAAACATGAAGTGTGCTGTGATTAGTTAGCTGGGCCAGTGTGTGTTGTGATTGGCAGCACTCGGCGCCTGGTCGGGAAATGTCACGCTCCTTACCATAGCCGACTGTGCGCTTCAGTGTAAATATTGTGTCAAAATTGCTAGCGTATCTCCAACATAGTGATAACACTCGTTGCCTTCTCTAGTGCAGCTCAACCAGGTCTCGTGCCATTCGCCGGAATTTGCGATATCACAAATCCCGGAAAATATGCGTTGTAGTCCAAACGAGTCGTTCGTTGTAGTTTATAAAATATCTCCTTTTGATTTGTACTTTGAGCTTTGTAAACAACATTATATTGTGTATTTGGTGTAATGAAATGTGTTTATGCGGTTTAAGGTTAAAAAACCACATTATTTTCCATATGTACATAATTGGTTCTCCTCTATGCCCGCCTTTCTGAAACGCGTCGATTTTTACAAAGCTCATCGTTCTAAAAAAGCAAGGTGTGCTGTGATTGGCCAGCTATCCAGTGCGTTGTGATTGGCCGAATGCCTCAAGCGTGTGACGGAAATGTTACGTAAAATATATGGTCTGTTTTTGCAGCTATTTTTCAACACGGCAGTCAAATTTGTCTTTTTATTTCCTCAGCATCCGGAACTCCAGCAACACTCAAGTGAACAAACTGACCCTCACCAGCGACGAGTCTGCTTTGATTGAGGATGGTCCCGCTCCAGAGAACTTTGAAGTGGGTGATGACTCCAACCGTGCCGTTGACAATGAGAAGGATGGAGTCAACTACAGCTACTCTTTCTTCCACTTCATGCTTTTCTTGGCTTCCCTGTATATCATGATGACACTGACAAACTGGTACAGGTATGTGCTCATGTGAGGATGTATTTGTCAGTTTAATTTCACAATATATTAGTGATCATATTTTAGTTTTATTAGGTCAATTTTGTAAGCAGATCAAGAGCTTATTTTCAAAAATTCAAAAGACATTTAAAAGTCATAAAATTACATTTATGAATGCATAAAATTCTGTACATAAAAATATACATACTGAATTGCAATACACCCTTAAAAATAAAGGTTCTTTATTGGCATCAATGGTTCCATAAAGAACCTTTACCATCCGTGGAACCTTTTCATTCCACAAAAGGTTCTTTACAGTGGAAAAAGTTCTTTAGGCTACGTTTACACTAGTGCGTTTTCGTTTTAAAACGCATAACTTTTGCAACGGTTACGCCTGTCGTTTACACTACTCTGGCGTTTTCGACCCACGAAGATTTTTGAAAACGCTGCAGACCCCGTTTTAGTTTGAAAACTCCAGGGTTGCGCAGTGTAAACCGACCAAAACGGAGACTTTTGAAAACTATGGCATGGCTGCCCACATTCGCTCTGCGTATCCTTGACGACCGTGTAAACAATAACATCATGCTCATTGTTGTACCCATAGATATGTATAGGTAGATTCTGTATTCGACCGCTCCAAGCACGTAGACGTGTCCACCATCTGAATAGGGATTCTACCTATACATATCTATGATTGTATCTGCATGAATGGTCATGTGACATGCGTTTTCAGTAGTGTGGATGAGATGGTTTCTGACACGCAGTGAAAAAAGCCTATTATGCTCTTTTATAAAGTCTTGATTTTGTTTTGGGGGTGTACTAGAACAGGCTCTCATACTAGGTTGTTCGAAAAACACATTATTTTTCACATATTTTACATTATTACAACACCTCTCTCCCCAGTCTGGCATGACTGGCTCAAATAGTTCCTGTATCAAATCAGGAAACAGAAGGCCCGCCTTCTGAAACATGAAGTGTGCTGTGATTAGTTAGCTGGGCCAGTGTGTGTTGTGATTGGCAGCACTCGGCGCCTGGTCGGGAAATGTCACGCTCCTTACCATAGCCGACTGTGCGCTTCAGTGTAAATATTGTGTCAAAATTGCTAGCGTATCTCCAACATAGTGATAACACTCGTTGCCTTCTCTAGTGCAGCTCAACCAGGTCTCGTGCCATTCGCCGGAATTTGCGATATCACAAATCCCGGAAAATATGCGTTGTAGTCCAAACGAGTCGTTTGTTGTAGTTTTTGAAAAGTGATTTTTGTTAAAGGGGTCATATGACGTTGCTAAAAACAACATTATATTGTGTATTTGGTGTAATGAAATGTGTTTATGCGGTTTAAGGTTAAAAAACCACATTATTTTCCATATGTACATAATTGGTTCTCCTCTATGCCCGCCTTTCTGAAACGCGTCGATTTTTACAAAGCTCATCGTTCTAAAAAAGCAAGGTGTGCTGTGATTGGCCAGCTATCCAGTGCGTTGTGATTGGCCGAATGCCTCAAGCGTGTGACGGAAATGTTACGCCCCTCACCATACTGTGATGCCATCCTCCAGCAGGACGAGACTCAGTCCAGCTGTTCTGCTCGTGCACATCCCATCATCGGTTCTCTTTTAGCAGTTCAGTCAATGTACTGAATAACTCGGGATATTGGTTTATTTCACGTCAGAGGGAGTGTCAGGCACGTTTATATACTGAATAACTTAAGTAATTTGTGGATTGGTGCCTACTGGAGACGCGAACCGTTTCAAACGATTCAGTTCGATTTGGTGAACTGGTTCGACCGGTTCACTAAGAAGATCCGGTTAAATAGAACAATTCGTTCGCGATGCGGACATCACTAGATAAGACAAAACCAATAAAACCCATTACAAACGAGGCATTTGTTGCATCCAGTGGGGACATAATTACTGATTATAATGACTTATATGGTCTTTTTACGTGTTGCGTATCATGCTGCGTAACCATGAAACCATGTCTGCATTTGTGATCGGAGAAATGACAAGCCTACTCTACACTAAAGCTACATTAAAGTGATTATTAAGTTTTGAATATGGATATTTTTCTTACAAAAACGCATCGATTCGCTACAGGGGGCCTTTGTTCACCCCCCGGAGTCGTGTGAGACACTTATTATTATAATTTTTTTTAATGGGCACTTTTTATTTAACTACTTTTGGACTGATGCATGCAACACCCGCTGAGTGGCATTAAACAGCTTGAAAGATCAAAGACAATTTTTAATATAACTCCGACTGGATTCGTCTGAAAGAAGAAAGCCATATACACCTAGGATGACTTGAGGGTGAGTAATTTGTGGGCTAATTTTCATTTTTGGGTGAACTAACCCTTTAAATCAGCACAGCCAGCGAAGGATCAAAAGCAACTGTTTTGAACGAGCGCACCTTTTTTAACAACCAAAAAATGGCTGTTTCGTGGTCTGTTGAGGAAGTATAGACGTTCCTCTTGTTGATAGCAGAGGAGCGGATCCAACGAGAGCTTGATGGGGCGACGCGGAATGAAAAGTTTTTCAGGAGTCGCTGCAACTATAATGACATGTGAATAATCCTGCCCACTCTAAAGCGGTCCTAAACTGCAGTGGAAACGCAAACCGAGCCGAGACGTACCACGCAGTGGAAAAGCGCCATAAGAAAAAATGGTTCTTTTAAGAACTGTTCACAAAACTGGTTCTTCTATGGCATTGCTGTGAAAACCCCCCTTTTGGAACCTTTATTTTTAGGAGTGTATTGTCTATTAATAGATTGACATATTACTGCAAGTAACTCGTACCCACTGTATATATATATATATACATAATAAATATACACAGCACACATAAATATATTATGTAAACAAAAACTTTTATTTTGAATGCAATTAATCGTTTGACAGCACTAATATATATTCATATATTCAGCAACGATACATTAAATTGCTCAAGTGTATCAGGGGAGATATTTTTAATGTTATAAAAAAATTATATTTCAAATAAATGCTGTTCTTTTGGACCTTTCTATTCACCAAAGAATCCTGAAAATAAATAAATAAAATCATTAACCAGCACAACCATTTTTAATATTTATAATAAGAAGTGGTTCTGACCCCAAACTTTTGAACGGTGGTGTATGTATATTTTTAACAATATTTTTACTAATTCTTTTTAACTAAAATCTTAAATCTGTTCTTAATAAAAACAAATTTAATACAATCATTTGGATATACAATATCATCTAGTATTTTGTTGTCACTATTTATGTTTAAATGTTTATGGTCAACAAGGTTAACAGATTTATCCTTAAACTCTGAATGAAAATTTTTTTTCTTGTCAATTTTATAGCCCTGACTCCAACTATGAGACTATGACCAGCAAGTGGCCCTCTGTGTGGGTGAAGATCACCTCCACCTGGATCTGCATCTCTCTGTATGTGTGGACTCTGGTGGCTCCACTGGTCCTCATCAACCGTGACTTCGAATGAGAGGACGGATAGAAATGAAAGCTTGCAATTAGAATCCGCCATTACTTATGTGAATATCCACATGTATAGGGATAGGAGGGTCCAAACGTAAATACTTGTGAGTGTTTTGTTCGTTCAGCTGACACTACATGTTTTTTTTAACCTTGCATGCTTTTATGTAGTGTTTATTTGTTCATATATGAGCTGAAATAAATGAAGAACATGGCTTGGGTTTCCTGTGATGTGAAGTTAATATTTCCTTCAAGAATTTGTTCTTCAAAATTGAGGATAATATAACGCTTGATAACCTCTGTATGCTTTAAAAAAATAAATAAAATATATCTTAAGTTATTTGTGGAGAGTAGTGAAAATGCCGGTCATGTTTTCCCATAAATCGTGACATCCATAGCTTCCTATAGAACGCACATATACAGTAGTGAATTAGCATGTGAAAAATTTACAGGCAATTTAAAATAGTAGATTTTTGTCATGCTTTTCGCCTCTTGATGATTTGCAACATGAACGTGACTGTAATTTTGACTTAACAGTGCTAACCCTTTTGCAACTTGCACATGTTAGTTGTTTGCGCACTATTCATTTTATGCTTGTAGCCAATGTGTGTGTTGGAACAATGTTTTGCACTGAATATATTATCCTTTGCTGATAAAACCTGAATAGATGACTTGTTTTTACCCTTTATTGTAGCCTATTAAAGACACACTGGTGGTTCTCTTGATGACAGTTCTCACTTTTTTTTTTTTTAATGTCAGTGTTATTTTTTGCTCTTTGACAAGTGCATTGTAATCACCAAATATGTCATCTTATTAAAGGTGTAAAACCCAGATTATGTTCTCATTGGAGTTTCAAAATATTACCAGTTATTGTTACAGATTTCAGGATTTAATGACGGTTCAGGTTTCCGATGTCGATTTACCTGAAAATATTAATGAACAGGTATTTTTCTAAATGAAAGAAAACAAAAAAACAACACAAACTATTAATACTGTAAATTAAATCTTGAACCCTCTTGGTACATTTTGGTAGAGTTTTTACATACAGTAGTCAACATTTGAAGTGGATAAAAAAAAAAGTTAATCAGAGTTGTCCTACGACTAACGCATTTTGGCTTTAGGATTTAGGACAACTTTGATGAAAGGTATTGATCCACTTCAAATGTTGACTACTGTATTTAGGCCTACAGTTCTAATCATCTTCTCAACTTAGTTGTTAGAATATATATACAGGTGCATCTCAATAAATTAGAATGAAACTCGACTATTTTGGCTTAATTGCAAAATGCTCCCCTTTTACTTTTTCGTTTGTGACATTCACAACACAAACTGATTTACTGACGTCTTTCCGCGGTTCAAAACCGAGATAGTTTATAATTTTTAGTTGTACGGTATTTAAAAGTGGAAGAGATTATCGATTCGCGTGGGCTTCGCGATCTTTCTCGCTACAATCCAGAAGCTACAAATCGGTATTAATTTCTTTAAATTTCATGATGAAACTGTCAGAATAATATCTTAATTTTTAAAACTAACAAAGCGTATAGACTCTATGCACAATCGCTCCCGTGTTTGGTCTCAGCCAGCTCAGTTACATCCGGTGCAGCGCCGGAAGCCATTTTCGCTATTGGCGATAACTGAACATGTTTACAAGAGCTTCCCTGGATTACCGTGAACGACGTCGTATCGTATCGTGAGGAAACCAGCTGTTACACCCAATAGTTAGAAAGAGAAGGGCTTCAAATTATTGACTAACAGACAGAGAAAATGGGATTTTTTTCTCGGTTCGTTAAAATCATAATATAAACATTTCAACCCAAACCTATTTAAAAAAAAACAAAAAAAACCACTAGAATCAATGTTTAAATTCCTTTAATGCTACTGCAAAGCTTTGTATAATAATGGAAAGCTCACGGTAACAAGAATCACTGTATTGTCCAACAATATGGAACTAACCATAAGCCAAAGTCTTCACGTCTATTTACAGTGACATTAGGACATCAGGCAGGCACTTCTATACCATACACATAAAGGATAGCTTTAACATTTTCTGAACGGCTCAATAATAAAACAGGAAAACACGTGCATCACGAAACAGCTGCAATGTAAACCAGCAACATAACTGCAGCCTAATCTCCTGGTAGAGATTGTGGAAAGGACACTAGCTAGTAAACAGTAACTAGAAGTATCTGTGTAAGGAAGGAATGTCAAACTCGTGGACAGACTGTACCAAAAAAATTCTGCCAAATAGATATCATCCTTTTGATGAATATTTACAAAAAATGAAAAGGTCTGTTTTCCAGGCTGATTAGCTTTCAGAAATCAAGCTGTGGCGTGTCGTCACTGGGCAGGTCAGAGTTCAGTTTGCACAGGTAGAACAGCGTGGTCTCGCTCGCCTCCGCCTCTGTGAGGGGCTCCAGACGGATCAGAGAGCTGCGAGGCATCTCCGTCTCCAGGTCCTTGTCCAACAGGTCTGTGAAGTTTTCAGGGCTCTGGGGCAGGATAGGCTGGCTCAGGTTTTCAGTTGGAGAATCTGGTGGGGCAAGAGGGGTGCATCCATCTATGAAGGCCAGCAGAGGGCAGGTTGTATACTCGATCAGCTGCTTATCTGAATGAAGTAACCAACACGCTAGTAAACAAAGCACAGTGAGGGCACACAAATGACACTGATTTATAAAGGAACATGCAACAATTACCTGTGTTGTCAGGCTCAGGCTTCCCTTTGTGAATGCTATCCTTTGTTTCCGAGACAGCTTCCTGCCAACAGCAAAACGAAAGAAAAACAGAGCTTTATCAAAATATGACAATGCAGAATAAAATTAAACAAGTCATCATGGTGAATTATAGCAGCTGAGCGATGCATCATTGGAAATTATTTTAGAGCTTTTCAACAAAAAAAAAAGAGGAAGTAAACACATTATGGCTAATGGAATCTCCAAACAAACCTGTATGATATCTGGGTCAATGCTGAACTGTTTTTCATACAGCATGGCTTGGAAGTCTTCCAGACTGCAGTCAATGCTGTCCAGATAGTCCATCAACTCAACTCTGCAGTGATTTCATTTACAATGAAATGTTCATTAAATATTCTTAAAGCAGAAATGTATCATTTTTGCACGACTAAAAGTCTCACCAATAAAAAAATAAATCAATAATAAAAAATAAAGAGAAATGCAAAGCCTGAATTTTGTTGAACCAATTATTTAGTAGAATGGAAGCCTATTTCCACCACATGAAAGAAAAGAAAAAAAAATCTTGCTTTGACAGACACCAAGTCATAAATATGAGATACTACGTATGAGGAAAAAAAGTCCAAATTATGAGACAAAAATATTGAGATGTCATAATTAGGAGATAAAATCAATTATGAAAAAAATAGAGAAAAAAAATGTAAAACACTGAAATTAATTAGATTAAAAATCTAAATTATGAGATTGATTATGAGATAAAGTCCAAATTGTGGATTGTGATTTACCTAAATATTTTTTTTCTTATGTGGTAGAAACTGGCTTCCATAAATAAGTTCTCAGAGTTTGAATAATAGTTGTTTACTCAGTAGCAAGGAACATATTTTTTTCCCTCTTGGCAAGTGAGAAGCTCATCAGGATAGATATTAAATCTCAACAGCCTTGTATTGTATATGGGCAACACTGGCCTACTTACTTGCCAAGAAGGTTTATGTTTTGTGAAATGGCTCCATTTTCACTGAGAATGGAGTTCATCAGCTTCACTGGATCCTCTGAACTTAGAGCTGAGGGTTTGTTCAACTGCAGTGTGCTTGATGAAATGTCAGAGATGATTTTGGGTACTGCTTCTTGTTGAGTGGCTGAATTTGTTCCAGTTTCGTTTGTGCTGTCGTTTCTTATAGTCGGGCTGCTTTCACAAGCAACTTCCACAATTTCAGCATCTCTGTAAGAAATCAAGAGAAAACAGATCTCATTTCAAATTTTCTGTCAAAACTTTATGCAAAGGAGGTGCAATGGTTTGAATCAAAACCTAAATGCTTACCCTTGGTCAGCTGGTACCGATACGCCATCTGTAAATTCTGCATCTTCTTCTTCTGTGATGTCACAGATGACGACATCTTCAGAAATGTCAGAACTGTTCTTCAATCCATTGAGTCCATTCACTGCAGACTAACAGAGATGAGTCTCTGACAAACAGATCTTCGAGTTGCAATATTAATGAGGAATATAATGTTTATATAAATAAATCGGTCCCCCACCAACGTGAATTTAACTGACGGTGATTCTCACAATTTAAGGTTCCTATCCAGGGGCAGGACACTTTCACACAAAGTGAACCCTGCCTCAAATCTCATTAAGAGAGAAAAACGCAAGATAATGAATAGCAACATTACATTTACAATATAACTGACAAGAGCACATTTCCTCCTAGTAGCAAGGAGAGACAGAGTGCATGGAACCTAATCAACCCCTGGATGGTTTTACACCTACTTTGCTGTGGTCCATAGGTTCCTCGAAGATCTGGTGGATGAATTTAGACTTCTTTCCGTTACTGTTCAGTGTAAGTGGCCTGAAATTAGATAGCAAGTACATATTAATCATAAAAAGGTATACATAAGGTACATATTAACAATTGTGTAAAATATATTATTATTTGTTTTTTTAAATGTATAATAATAAAATATAATTTTATTTAAAAAATATAAATTATTTCTCTCAAAATTACTGAAAGAATTATTGATGAATCAGAATTGGAACCAGGAAGATACATATTACGCATACATACATATATATATATATATATATATTTTTTTTTTAAGAATACTCGTATTTATTTAAAATAACTTTACTGTTTTAATATATTTCAAATGTATTTCATTTCTGTGATGGCAAAGCTGACATTTCAACAGCTATTACTTTACTTTTACTTTTCTGCTCAAGAAACATTTCTTATCATTATCAAATGTTAAAAACTGTTCAGCTAATTAATATCTTTGTTAACTGTTAATAGTTTTTATTCAGTATTCTTTGATGAATAGAAAGTGATTTATTTGAAACAGATTTTTTTTTTTTTGTAATAATGTAAAAGTCTTTGCTGTCAAAATTTGGAACGCCAGTAGTGTACTTTTATTAGATGCATACACATACTTTTTAGTCTTACCTTTTGCGTTTTAAATTTAACATACGATTGTTCTGAACCAATGTGAAGATGAACTGCACCAGCTGCAGGGAACAATACAAAAAGTGGCATTAACATTCAAACCTGTGCATTAGATCATGCACATTTTATGCTGAAATACAATTGAAATGTCTGCAAAACTGCTACGTGCAAGTAGAACGTACCT